ATTTAATGTAATTTGCAAAAACCCCAAGATGTGACACAAATAGACTTTCCTGTCTTCCCCAACCCTTCTTCAGATAGAAGATAAAATATTTTCTCCACCCTTCATTATTTCTCACTTAAGATTTTATTGCCTCATTGTTTGGACTGTGATGCCTCCGTGATTAAAGCTTCATAATGAAGTATCACATTAGGAAGATGAAACAAAATTAAAGTTAGTTTAACTCCAGGGACATTATATCACGGCGGCTCCATTTTCACTGTGGCTCCCAAAATGACATTACGACAGAAGTTGTGGAACAATTTGAGCTATTAATCTGTTTTATTACCAGACTGTCAAAATATCGTGACTCTCATTGACAAAGAATCTGACACTGTTGAATGCAATTTGAATATATGAAGCACTTTCCAAACCTCAAACCTAGAATGGGTTTTAAATGGATATCAACACAAGGTGAGGGCTCAGCTCTATAAAGACTCATAAAGAAGATAACTGAATTTAAGCTGCAGTAGTTTATCTCCTCTTCCTCCCTTTGCTCCTCTTTCACTCACTTTAAATATCACTCTTTACCTCCCCCCTCTTCCCTTCCCCTCCTCCTCTTTTTCTCACCTTTTATAACCCTCCCTCTCTCATCTGAAACTTCTCCTCTGTTCTAATTTTGAGGCGGTGTTGTTTGTGTTTGTGCTTTAGTGTTTGGTTTTATTGAGACAATCCATCTGCGATGTGGCTGTCATTGGCTCTCAGGAGTTTTTTAATGTGTTGTGTCACAACGCTAGGGTCTTGTCTTTCTTTCTTAAAGATATTTGTGTCTCTCTGAGACAGGCTGGGATGATAGATGGCTATGCATGTGTGTGTGTGTGCGTGTGTGCGTGCGCTTCTACCAGTATAACAGCTGTATCCAGCCCTTTTAGAAAGAGTAAGTGAAAGTGAGTGTGTTTATGAGAGAAAGGGGCAGGTGCAGAGGACATATAACAACTCCTTGTTTCCTCTAAAATCCATCAGAAATCTCCTAAATACCAGGGAATTAGAAAAGCTCACATTACTCTCAATTACTGTCAGACCTGGAGAGGAATCTTTCCAATTATCCTTTCAAATGTCTAACCTATGTACTCTGAGAGCATTATCTACATAACTAACAATGTTAAAGAAGTCATCCATAAACGTGGATTACATAGTTGATTTTCACTTCCATGCCGTTTTCTGTTTCTGTTCTGCCTGGAACGTTTTCAATTCTTTCGTTTTGGTTTGATTACTCTCTCTGTTATGTTAAACTAGTTGTTGCATGTGCCAGGAATTTGTTCTCATTCATTACATCTGTTTCCCTCTTTTTATCTCTCCCTCTCTCTCTCTCTCTCTCTGTCTCTCTCACACATACATACATGTACATACACACACACACAGACCACCAGCCTCCTCATTTGGTCTTAACTCCTCTCCAGCTGTGTGCCAATTTGCCTCCTCCAGAGTATGTGGGGTTTGGGGAGGGGGTGATTAGGAGCTAGCACTGCATTTCAGCTAAAGGTTTCCAGCGTGTGTGTGTGTGTGTGTGTGTGGTGATGATGTAAGTCCCGTGCGTGTTTGGTGTGGGTGTTGTGTGGTGTGTGTGTGTTCTTTCTTGAGTGTTTATGCAAAATGTCGGGTTCTCTGTGTGTGTGTATGTCTACATAACAGTTTCAGCTCATATACTGTATGCTTATCTGTGTGTGTGTGTGTGTGTGTGTGGTGTGTGTGTGTGTGTGTGTGTGTGTGTGTGTGTGTGTGTGTGTGTGTGTGTGTGTGTGTGTGTGTGTGTGTGTGTGTGTGCCCCAGTAATGGGTTCCATCCTCATTACCCAGTAATCCCCAGCTGCTGTGCAGTGCTCTCTGGGTTCCTGGAGGGAGAATTCCAAACTTGCCAACGGATTTACAGCAGATTCCCTAAAGATTCCCACTGGATTTCTGCTCCATTCCCAATATGGAAACTCTCATAAGACTCCAGGGCTGCAAATAATGATTGTTTTCAACACTGACAAGACTCTCGATTGTTTCTTTAATTAATCAATTAATCTTTTAGTCTGTAAAGAAAGACTGTAGAGACAAACACCTGCTGTGACTTGTTCTAAGTTGCATGTGTTGTCCAACCAAAAGTGGAAGATATTCTGTTTCTAATGCTTTAAAACAGTGAAAGCCAGCAAACGTTTGACAAATTGCAACAGGCAAATGTTTGGCAGTGTTGTTTGATGAATCAGTTATTAAAATTTCTGGCAATTCATTTTATTTCGATTACTTAATCAGCTAATCATTTCAGCCATGGTAAATTTAAAACATAAGTTAGATTTGCACCCTGTTTAACACCCCTATAAATTAAATGATTAAAAGTGTGTGTAATATACTTTTGTTGTCATATTTTATTTTTTCGATATTCCAAGCTTGACCCAGCAACTGTTAAACTCTACTCCTCCCAGAGAGCCAATAAATTGTCAAATAAATTTCCCAGATGTTTTCCACTTGATTTCCAGTATATCACTGTTAGATTGCCAAAAGCAGTAACAGTGGTTTAGAGAGCAGGCCACAAGCAACCAGTAAGCACAAGCTCATTAGTCAGTCCTACTAGCCAGTACAGTACAGCTTTCCCAGTGTCTTTTTAGGTGCCTCTCACTCCTCCTTGCTTCTTATATTCATCTAATTTCCTTCTTCTTTAAGCCATGTTTTCCTTTTAATTTTCTAGTTCACTGTTTGTGTTCTTCTCAAGTCCGCACTTATTCATCCTCCCATCTTTAATGTGTCACATCATGGTCCGCTGGGCCTCTCTGCTTCATTTCATTTTCGCTCTATTTACAGGTTTGTTGCAAATGATTGTTGAAACTTTTTTTTTTTTTTAAGTGACATCTTGTATGTTAATTTGGCAAGTGATCGAGAGCCTAAAAACTTGTTGTACATTTGATGTACATTTTATAGATGCTGTTTTTTTCCCTGCTGCCTACTCCTCCTTCTTGTATCTTCTTCACCTCTTTCCCTCTCCTCTTATCATTGTTTTTCATCTGCAACCCCCCCCCATACCTCCCCTACACTCTTCCTCCCCTCTTCGTATCCCTCTCATCTCTCTCCTCCTCTCTGCCTTCTTCACCTCCCCGTCACCTCTCCACCACTCTTATCTCTGCTGCTTGGTGACACTATCGTGGCCGGGGGCCAGATGCTGAGTGACAGACTGACCGACCGATATGGGCACAGGTATAGAGGCTCAGAGGTGGATAGCGAGTCATGCAGATTGGCTGGCAGGCAGACTTGTAGCCATAAAACTTTCTAAAAAGGAGAGAGAGAGAGAAAGAGAGAGAGAGAGAGAGGCAGGCAGACAGACACATGGACAGACGGGGCAGCTGGCGGATTGACGTGTTGGTAGGCTCTCTAGCAGAAGAGAAGCAGACAAAACGGCTGTGGCTATCAAGAAGAGAGACATTTGAGACATGTAGCTGATATGCTCACCCAGAGTGACTTACAATAAGTGTAGCAGAATAAGTCGAAAACCAGAGGACAGATGACAGATAGGCTGACAGATGAGTTGACAGAGAAGCAGAAATGTAATGTGCTCACGAAACTCGCAGACACACACCCACAGACACACACACACTCACACACACACACACACACACACACACACACATACACACACACACACACAAAGACACACTCACATACACACACGCACTCTCATGGCGGATATGGAGACAGGAGGGGCAGGAGCAGTCATCCCAAACATGATGGGCATGTAGGTAGTTAGACACTTTTCCACTGCTGACCACCCAAATTGCCACACACAGGCGTCAGCATGGAGACCACCAGCACTCTGTGTATGTGTGTGTGTGTGTGTACTGATGTACAAATCTGTGTTTGATTCAGTCGGTCTGTCTCTGTGGCACATTCCCATTATCTCCAGGCAACAGGCAACAGGTCAACTCCGTGATTGGTTGGAGGTTGTGGAGCCCCACCCACTCAACTCTGCATATCAATGATAAGTGTCATTATGACACTCAGTGAGAGTAACATGATTCTGCTCTGAACACATTTCAACACAAGTGCAGGCTTCACTACACATTATGTCCAAGTATATCAAGCCAATTAGTAAATATAGACTCAGTCAAAACTGTAACGCATTTTTCAAACACGTCTCACATGTATTCACATATACAAACAAGCATAAATATACTTGCTATCAAAAATGGAAGGATTAAGAGAATGGAAAAGCGAGCGACAGTGAGGCAGATGGGTAAATAGAGATAGGATGAGAAACAAATGTAGACAAACGAAAAGAGACAGAAAGACAGAGAGATAAAATGTAATACCTCGTCATGTTAGCTATGTGAATGACACGTGTTTGTGTACTTGCTTTCCACTGGGCACAAGACATCGATATCTGTTAACAGGACTGGACTGGATTACCACAGCTGTGTGTGTTTGCGTGCATGTTAACTGAGCCCGAGGCTACTTAAAACTGCCACATGTCACTTATATTCTGTTTGCTATGTGATCTTTGGCTGGGATGGGCTGTTGGCTGCGTGTGTGTGTGTGTGTGTGTGTGTGTGTGTGTGTGTGTGTGTGTGTGTGTGTGTGCCTCTCCCTCTCTTTCTCCCTCCTCTCCAGTGCAAAACAAATAATTTTCAGCAGATTTTCATGAATATTTCAGCCATTTAGTTCCTGGACCAAACAAAAAACAACAAACTCTAACAAAGTGTTTGCAGTGCCAGCGGTTGGTTGATGATTTGTTTTATTTATTTCAAGCCGAGCGAGAGGTTAAAACTGCATCTATGTGGTGCAGTCATTCAGGAAGATCATGTTTATTTCACTGATTTTCTTAATAACATTATGTTGGAGTGAAAGGACCTGTACTCACACACAATGTTAAATGTTTTACGTCTTTTTCATTGCAAAGTAAAATCAGTTGGAGTTTTTTTTCTAAAATTTAGAAAACTTGCTTTGTGTTTTCTGATGGCATCATTTGTTTCAAAATTGTGCTGTTCTCTTCTCCAGACGGGGTCCGTTGGATCCAGGTGACTACCCCATGCAGCCCTGGTCTGGTCATTACCCCGGACCTCCCCAGGCCGCACAGGGATACCCTCAGTCCCTGTCCTACCCTAACCCCAACTCCCAGGCCGGTCCGTCTTACCCTGGCTACCCACCCAGCCAGCCATACCCACGGCCAGGTGACCCTCGGGGCGTTGACCCTGGTTACTACCCCCATCCGAGGTAATTAGACGCAGGGACATTGCTATACACCACATGATGCTGCACACAGAGGTCAACCTCTAACATGAGTCTGATTTACATTGTTTTTACATATATGCATAAATATATATACATACGTAAAGATTTTTACTGTTGATTCCTTCATTGACTCAGCTTTATCTTTTATTCTTCTCCTCGATTTCCTAGTGTTGTCACTGTACTTATTTTATCACACTGCTTGACCACACCTTGTTTTCTGCTCCTAGCTCCCAGCAGAGAGGGCCCTTGCGGCAGGATGTGCCCCCGTCTCCTACCCCTCCACTTCGTGGACTACGGTACGACACTATGATGCGTGGAACAGGGGGTGGAGGCTACAGGTAGGGGCATTTTGTGGATGAAGACGGTCCCAGGTAAATTCTGAGATCTAAAATCTTCTTCTTTTGTTTCACAAATGACTCAGTTCATCTACTTTAATGCCTGAATAATGTTCTGAAAGATAGTTTAAAATCTCTGTTTGATAAAAGCACTCTGGAAATTTTACAGCTGTAGATTTTAAGTAAGATGACAAACCTGAGAACATGTCTGACCGGTACAGGCACCTGATGGATCCCGGTCCAGACCAGTACGGCTACACTGGGGAGGGAGGAAGACAACAACAGCAACACCAAACCAACCCAAGGCAGAAGAATGCAATGACTGCAGCTGTGTAGATGAATCAGGTCCAGAGATAAAAAAAAAGCAACATTTCTTCTCCTCTACTTTTGCTGCTCCAACTAAATAGAGTTGAAACCACTTAATGGCGTGATTCGAATCACCATTGTTATCATCCATCTAGGCAGTTGAAAAGTATACGGTAATACACAGACAAGCAAAGGTAAAGGAGGTTAATTATAGAGTGGCTGGTGTGATGCATAATGTCTTTTTGTTTGAAGTCATTTAAATTGCTTTGAGTCTTCCCAGAGTATAAAATTAGCACTTTTTTTTTTTTTTTTTTTTTTTTTTTGCTCTTTTCTATACTCTGATTAAGTCGTCTCTTTCAAGAATCAGTCAGGGGCCCAGGTAATTGGATCCATTTAAATTAAGCCACTGAAGGCATAAATACAGCTCTGCACACTCCCATATTCTATCTACCGCTGCTCCACTGACATGACAAAAACATAAAATACCCTGAAAAGTAACATTTAGTAGCCTGTCGCACACCTGTCAGTGTCAGTACTTCTGTGTTATTATCACGACTGAAGCAGTTCATGTTTACAAAAATGTGATTGTGGGGCTCTGGACAGGTAACAAATACGTCCGAAGATATAGTTCTTGTTAGTGACTGCTGCCGAAACAGAAAAATCACAGTAACCCTAAATGTAGCATTGTGCAGTAAAACGGTATATCCATTTGTGCCAAAACAATAATAAAAAAAAACTCTACACAACATTAAGAGTTTCGGCAACAGTTACAGTCAGTTAAATGAAGTGCTCTTTTTGAGGCCTCACCGTCTCAGTTTGCCAAAACAGGGAGAACTCCACTTTACCAATCTCTGTGAAAGTACAGACTTAATGCTCATGATTAGTGTGATGATCCAGTTTTGTTTTGTCATTATGAGTTATGGAAACATTTTAACAATTGAAGTGCACTATACCACAGCGGAGCACTGTATGAATTATCTCTCAGTGTAATAATATGCTTTTAATAATATAATGCTATGACTGCCTTTCATTTTTGGCCAAAACATGTCTTTGGTTTCGATACATTTTTAGTCCAGGACTAGATAACGTCTGAATCCGAGTCTGAGTCCTGTCTGGCTGTTAGTTTTCTGAATGACCCTGATTCTGCATTAAAGTGAGCCCAGGACAACAGCCTTTTAAACCACACTGCAGAAGTACAACATCTCAAATGTATGTATTCATTTCAGGACATATAACAAAAGTTTGTCTTTGAATAGTTAACTTTATTTAAAATGACCCCTACTTGAATGTATGATAAAGTTGCATGGATTACGTTTTCATCTCTACTTAATCCAGGTAATCAACCTGTGTGTTGTGAATCGTTCCATCATGACTGGAGTTTATGCTCAAGGTTTGGTTTCATCAGACATCCAATTCAGAGATAATCCATTGCTTTAAACAAAAAAAGCTGACAACCACTTTATGATAATATCAGTGTATAAACTTTGACATTCTGGAAGAAGCTCCGCTAAGAACAAGATGATCGTTTCATGATCAGCAAGACACAAACCAAAGCTTTTTAATGCTGCCTCCTCCTCTGCTGGGAGTAACTCCTGGTATCTAGACAGTATTTGTTTCAAAACATCTACTCTTACTAGAGATGAGCACATATGTGATATCAGCTTGAACCTAATAGACAGCAATGTAAAATAAGTAGGAAATGAGCAGAACTCCAATAATGCTTTCATATAATATATCAAACCACTACAATGTGCTGCCATGTACTAGTGTTTGTACTAATCTTGTTTTCTTTTGGAGCTGGATGTGCAGCTGAGCTGTTTAAGCTGTTAAGGTGTCAACACTGTGCAGTAAACCAGGCAGAAAAGGCTTTTTTTGGGGGGGGGGTGTTAACTTACTAGTTATTGAGCTCGTTTTCACTCTGTGTTACTCTACAAACCTCTTTCTCTCTGTGTTTTCTGTGTCTGACATGTGCTGTAGTTTGGGTGTGAAGGATGTTCACTGCACATCTCTGTGACCTGGTGGTGTAGGCGTCAGTGTATGGTGAAGTGCACACGAGTCCTGTTGAAAAATGAATTGGGCATCAGAGTGCACTTCTCACTGCTGCGCCATAGTGTATATCCATTTAGCCACTTACTGAACCGTCAATTAAGTGTAACTAAGAGTTGGAGTCGAGCTTTTCCATTCGACAAAGCTCAGCAGTATTAATTTCAGTGGAGATTAAACGGTTAAAATTACATTTCAGGATTTGGTGAATTGCATTTATGTTGTTAAACTGAGGATGAAATGCCACTAAAGGATGAATGTTTAGAGTAATTTGACTGAAACCCATGCAAGAGAATGTGAAGTAGATGTTTTCTCAAAACCATGTCATTTGCTCGTTTTGTTAGAGAAACTTGGATCTTGATTAGACAGAGGAATGTAGGCCGGAAGGTAAAAAGAAAGAGATGTGATAAAAGATTTTGGACAGAAGGAAAGTAAGGATGGGAGGAAAGAAAGGAATAGAGATGAGGGTATAGGTAAAGAAGCGAAGAAAGACATAGAAAGGAAAGAGGGGTGTTGATGAAGAGGAAGTAAAGAAATGAGTAATCGATTGAAGGTTTTGATGCAGGGAGGTGGAAGAAATGGTCAAACTTTGGGCAGAAGTTGTTCTGAAGTAGGAGGAGGGTTACAGGAGTGGGCTTGTGTTTGCTGAATGTAGAGACTTTGGCAATTACTTATAAATATTTGTCTTTTTCACATGCTATTATCACTTTTCATCACCAGTATGGACGTATAACTTCCACATCTGACTGTCATGGTATGTCTGAAAATACGATACAAGAATGTCCTGGTGGTCAGCTCATCTGTCACGTATAAAGAACTGACACCAGAATAATTCACATGCCCATGTAGGTCATTCACTCTTTAGCTCAGTGCTAACATTGTAGCAGGCAGAAGGTCAGCAGCTAAACCTCCAGTGATACCGTACAGTACTGTGTGTGCCATTACCTCAAACGTAACAAAACTCAACAGTAGGTCAAATCACAAACGGTAGTCAGGTTGTAAACGTTAGTCTAATTAATCAATGAATCCAAGTGTACGATGTTAAGAATAGGACTGAAGGGGAAAACAGTAAAATGCAATGTGATAACAAAACACCCTATAGTTTTATTCCCCCAGGACCTTCTGGGTGATGAGTGACGATACATTACAACTGATAATCGACACAGCTGAGTTAAAACATGTGAATCTGTTGCCATTATATCAAGTTCTCTTCATTTACTAAAGGTCAGTTTTAATACTTTTTTCAATACTAGTTTTGTGTGTGTCACAGTGTGCTAAAGAGTGAGCAGGGAGCACCAGAGAAAATGATCTACTGGGGTCACATGGATGATTGTGGTGTCATCATTCCAAAAATGTTTTGCACTCCTTCAAGACAGAATGAGCAGTAAATAAAGATGGAGGTTGTCTTTTTAACCGTGTCTGAATGCTGGGTCAGTGCCTGGTGAAGCTTTTTTTTTTTTGAGCTACAATATACTGAGATGTGAACATTACATGAGGGGTATGACTGTTATTCCTCTGATATTACTACACAAGTCACACGCATGTAACTCTTCACAAGCATTTATTTTCTATGTTTTTTTTTTTTTATTTTCTCTTTAATGATAGTTGGTGTTGTTGGTTGGGTATACCAGAGCCACAGAGTGTTAGGCTACTGTTACCATGCTACTGTAAGAAAGAGGTACACTGCATAGTTTTCATCACTTTTCAATTCATTTTGTTTTTCTCAGTTTTTTTCAAGTTAATTCTGCAAAAAATTTGCACCTTGATTTTTTAAAATTGGGTAAAACGAACACGACATTGTGATGTAGCATGGGTAAAGATATGAAACATCCTGTGTGTATCGCTCTTTGGTTTTTGGCAGTACTGAACGAGTTGCACAAGATGAAGGTACGAACCAGAACCCTCCTTTTGAAGAGTTCTGGTGCTCCTGGTTCTCCAGTGAATGAAGGAACCAACTAAATAACCTCTGTCATAGACGTATAACATTTTTATTAAACTGCTTGTATCCAAAAATTCAAAAATCTCTTTTTATAATGTTGTAACAATAACAATGATTTCTATTATTGTTTTCCCACATTTTATATTTATGTATATAACATCTTTTTTGCATTAAAATATTCATTTCAAAACACGTTTTGTCAAAGATGTTTCACACATGTTCTTCTTTTTTTGAGCTACAATGCATGCCCAGCACATCTGCTAAGGTTAATTAAATATGAGTCAGGAGAAATTATTTCCCTCATGTCCCCCATACCCTGCAAGGTGAATCATTAACATTGCCAACCCAATTTAGTCCATCATTTAAGCAGCTGATAAATTGTACCTTTTGTGATAAGAGATAGATGTTGGCCCCAAATTAATGCAAGACTAATTATCAATTAGAAAAAGGAGATAAAGTACACTGATTGCGGTGCAAAGTTTTTTTTGAGTTTCTCTGGCACGGTGCCATCGCACTGCTAGGTCATATCCCTCCGATTAATAAGCATTTAGTCACAGTCTGTGGCTTAAGGTGCTTTCTTATTTATCAGACACTATGGGTGCTGGACTCGGGCAGCAATCAGAGAAGTAGTAGTAATGAGACACAGAGGCCAAGGGAATGTTTTATCAGTCAAGGCTTAATTAGCATATCCCAGACCTCTCGGCCAATGGGGAGAGGAA